ATTACGCTTCACGTAATAATTATCCGTAACTTCTATTCTTTCCCGCTTCACAGCATTATTTATATTTGTTACCCAACAATCAATCGCGTCTTAAATTTATTTTTCTACTGCGTTTTGGATTTGTTTATCTACTGCGACTTACATTTATTATTTTATTGTGTTTCTAAATTTATTAATAAAAAATTTTAGATAACGTCAATGAGCAAATTATAATTTAAATATCCCTATTCGTCAAAATAGACCGTAATATAACCTGTTGAACAATAATTAGAATGATACTGGATGTATAAAAAGAAATATAATTTTATTAAACCAAGAAGTTAAATTAAAATCGTTCTGAATTAGGAATTATACCGAATAAATTAATTTTATCAAACAAAGAAATTTAAACTAACAACCGTATTGGAATTAAGAAGTTGTTAAATAGATAGTCTTTATCAAGCAAAGAAATTTAAATTAAAAACCGTATTAAAATTTTAAAAATATATTAAATAAATTAATTTTTATTTACCAAGAGATTAAATTGAAAACCGTGGTGAATTTTAAAAATTATAATTTAAATGAATTAATTTTATTAAACACAGAATTTAAATTAAAAACCTTATTGAAAATAATTATAAATTAATTTTATTTAACCGAAGAAATTGAATTAAAACCCGTATTGAAAATAATTATAAATTAATTTCATTTAACCGAAGAAATTAAATTAAAAATCGTATTGAAAATAAATATAAATTAATTTTATTTAACTGAAGAAATTAAATTAAAAACCGTATTGAAAAATAAATTTATTTATTTATTTTATTTTAAGTCGTTTTTTAACAGCTAGGTCATTAACGACTGCTATTTACTATTTATAATATCTTAGGACATAGTTTATATCTTGTTTAACAGTTTAATGTGTTTTAGGATTGAAATTGTCTTGATGCACTGTTCCTGGTCGTTAAGTACGATCTTTATGTTGTTTGAGAGGCCGACTTTGCTTCTTTCTGGCTTGAGGTTATTGCAGTCGTTTTGGAGGTGTTTGATGGTTACTGTTTCTTCACATTTTAGGCAGACTTTCGGTTCGCTTTTAGTGATTAGGTGGACATGCGTGAGATTGGTGTGGCCTATTCGTAGTCTTGTGATGATAGTCTGGTTGTATCTATTTAGCGTTGGTGTCGTTTCGTAAACAGTTTTTCTTACTTCATGAAGTTTGGTTCTTCTTGAGTTGATTCATTGATGGTTCCATTGGGATTTGATCTTTGTTTTGATCAGTTTTTTAACATCAAGGTGTGCTGTAATGAGATTTGGAGCAATTTCCTGGGTTATAGCTTCCTTCGCCGCTTTATCAGCTAACTCGTTTCCCACAATACCCTGGTGTGCTGGGACCCATACGAAGGAGATGATGATGTCAAGTGCTGCTATTTCTTCAAGTAATTTGTGTATGTGTTGTATCAGTGGATGTACATTGAATTGATTTTTTATTGCGAGGAGAGCTGATAAGGAGTCTGAATAAATTACACTGTTGGATTTTTCGTGTTTTTTAATAATGGATTTCAACGCATAGATTATAACGGTTACTTAACACGTCCATATTGAACACATGTTATGCATGCGGCTTGAATTAACAGTGTTTGTATAGGTAACGACAGCGAAGCCAGAGTGATTGGTAGTGACTGAGCCATCAGTATAATACTCATCATAGTTATTGTATTTTTCTTGGATAGCAAGAAAAAGAGTTCTAAATGTTGAGGGTAGAGTGGTAGGTCTGTTGTGCTCGCTCATACTTAGGTCCATATTGGTGGTAAATTCTTGCCATGGGGGAGATTGTCCTAGACTTCTTAGTGCAATAGGTGGAAAGTTGATGTCCAACGCTTCCTTGTAGTGTTGTATCCTCATCCACAGTGGCTTGGGAAGTCGTGGTTTATGCCTGAAGATCTCTGTCAGGAAGTCTTTGGTGGTTTGCTGGTATGCTGGATTGCTTGGGGTAGCGGATATAGTTGCAAGGTATTTTAGGCAGAGTTCCATTCTTCTTAGGGCAGCGGTGGAATGTCTGATTCAGCTTGTAGGCTTGACGCTGGACTGGTTTTGAAGGCTCCGGTGGCTGTACGAATGGCCATGTTTTGGATTGGGTACAATTTTCTCAAAGTTATCAGTTTGTTATCAATGTTAGTCCAAGTATCTTCATCTGATTGACTTTTTTAATTGGTTGGTCATACAAATTAAGGGCATTGTGGTTGATACTATAGCCCTTGCTGAAGAGCATAAACTGTGATTTAGTCATGGAGAATTTGAAACCGCTTTTCTCAAACCAAAGAAGTAGTTTGTTGATAGCTCTTTGCATCATGTTATTTGTGATGTCGATGTTGGAGCCTCGCAGGGACAGTGAGTAGTCATCTACAAACAGTTTTCCCTTTATGTGTGTATATTCATTCATTATTTTGAGGGCTTCATTGATTGCTACCAGGAACATAAGTACACTGAGGACTGACCCTTGTGGGAGGCCATTTTGTAGCTCAACTTTTTTAGAAAGGACGTTTCGCAGTCTAACTCGCATGGTTCGTTTACTCAAGAAGTTGTAGATGTATGCTATTACATTACCGTTGAGTCCTAGTTTTTCTTTTAGGATTGTAATGATTCTTTCAATCCATGCCATCTCATAAGCTTTTTCAACGTCTAATGATAGTAGTAATAGGTGCTCGTTCAAGGCGAATGCATCACAAATTTCAGCTTCGAGACTCACTAGGAAATCAGTGGTGGATCTCATATTACGGGATCCATATTGAGTTGGGGCTATGAGCTTTTCTTTTTCTAGCCTCCATCTTAGTCTTTTGCAAACCATTTTCTCTAATATTTTACATAAGTTGCACGTTAGTGAGATGGGTCGGTAGTTAGATGGGCTAGAATGGTCTTTGTTGGGTTTAGGGACAGGTATTACGGTGGCTTCTCTCCATTGATCCGGAAATACTTGGTTGTTCCATATTTGATTAAAAATATCTAAGAGATATTTTTTTCCTACCCCTGGTAATTTTTTTATTAGGCTATTTGGTATTCCATCCGGACCGGGGCTGGAATTTTTGCAACTGTTGATAGCGTGATGTAGCTCTGTGATAGTGAAGGGATTATTAATCGGATCTAGGTTATAATTTGGGGTGATGGTTTGTACTTTAGTTGAATGTTTATAACTTAAGAAGGCTGCAGAGTAATTTGTGTCGGAGGAGTTGGAAGCAAATGTGTCAACCAGGTAATCAGCAATGATTTGGATTTTGGGTGTTGAGGAGTCATCTACTGGTGGCAATGAGGGGATTGGACTGATTGTGGGGTTGCCTGATACTCGTCTCAGTTTATTCGAGATTAGTGTCATTGGAGTAGTGTGAGTAAGTGTCGATGTAAAGTTTTGCCAACTTTAACGTTTGCTTTCTTTAATAGTTTTTCTCGCTATTGCTCGTGAACGTTTAAACTTTATTTTGTTTTCTTCGGAATTATTTTTGTTGTATTTTCTGTAAGCTTTTTTATGTTCTTTTATTGCATTGTGACAGTCATTATTCCACCAAGGAACTAGTTTTCTTTTTTTATTAAAGCAGGAAGTTTTGGGTATAGAGTCATTGGCTGCGTTTATGATTAGGGATGAGTAATTGTCTAGTATTTCTTGTATCGTTAGATGATGAATATCAGGGAGTATAGGCAATTGATAGATGTTCTGCTCAATTTACTATTGGTACTTGTCCCAGTCCGCATTTTTAAAACACCATCTGGGTGGGTTCTCAGGGTAATTCATTTCATTTGTATATCTGGTATCGCTTATTGTTATTGGGTGGTGGTCGCTGCTATTGAGGTCTTCAAGAACCATCCACTCCAAACTAGTTGCTATGTCATGTGTTGCAATAGAGAGGTCGATGGAGCTGTGATCACCAGTGTTACAATTAAAGTGGGTGCCGGATCCATCATTGAGTAGGACTATGTTTTCGATTGATTCAAGAATTTCCTCGATTATTTTACCTCTATTGTCAGTATGATTAGATCCCCACATGATATTATGGCTGTTAAAGTCGCCAACAATAATAAATGGTGGAGGAAGCTACGTGATTATTTGTTCCAGGTTATTTTTGGTGAAGTTGGTAGCGTTTGGGAGATATATGTAACATATTGTTATGGGATAGAGAGAATTTATGTGTACTGCAGTTGCTTCAAGATCTATCACTAGTGCTAGTTCCTGCGCCATCAAGTTGTTCTTAACAAAGATAGCTGTCCCTCCGCTAGCGCGTCCAGGGTTGGTCCTATTTTTGTAATAGGACTGATATTCTATAATTTTAGCGCATTGGTTTCCTTTAAAATTTGTTTCCTGGAGGCAAATGCAATCATATGACGATTTGTTGATAAGCTGTAGATTTTCAAGTTTTGAGTAGAAGCCATTTATGTTCCATTATAAGCAGCGCATGATTGTGGATCAAAAAGTTTTTAGGGATTGGTTAATTTAAGTATATTTGAGGTTGATTTGTTGAGATTTTAGTTTTCAAGGTCCATCAAGCTTCCTTGGAATGAAACTGTGTAATTGACCCCGTGTCGTCTAGAATTCCATTTTCCAATTTGTTCGTGAGTCTTGAGAAACGCTGTTTTTGTGCTTTAGTTTTCAGAGAGGGGTATATAGCTTTAAGGGTGACCGACAGATCCATTGCCTGCAGTTTGCTTTCATTTAGTACTGTTCCCAAATCTCTATTAATCAGATAATTATTTAGGAAGTTTTATAATTGTTCATATGTAATTGGATACTCATTAGGGTTTCGTGCCATAATAGTATCCACATATTGAAGGTATGGATTTAGTTGGAGTGGTTTCTGATGCTTTGGGTCCTTGATTTTAATTTTCTTTAGTGCTGGTATTTCCGGAGTTTTATAGGGTGGCGTTTTAAGATTTATTTTGGGATTATTGGGTGGAGGCATTGAAGACTGGTCTGAAGAGGACGACAGCTGACGCTTCGACGTCATAATGAATTTTGTTTGGTGCTCCAGTGGCTGTAGACTAGTTGTTTCGGTAGTGTTTACATGTTGAGGTTGACTTGTACTTTCTTGGTTGTTGGTATCAGCGGTATTGCTTGTGAGTTGGGGGGTCGTTATTAGGGGCATTAGTCGGACACGATTTGGCAAGATGACCTTCTTCCTTGTAGGTGAAGCACATCACGTTGTCTAGTGTTGGGTAAATCCAATATGAAGTGTCGTCATACTCAATTTTCCACGAGCTTGGAATTTTTTTGATGTCCTCAGGTCCAATATACAGTTGACGTCTGAAACTGAGAATATGTTGGTAGCCAGGGCTGTTTAGCCCGGCTCTCAAGGTCGTTACGTTGGACATTGGAGTTATGCCAGATTCCTTTAGCTTATTAATGATGATGTCTGTAGGAATTATTGGTGGTACATTTGATAGGATAAGCCTCTTGTTTCGGGTGATAAGCGGACGGATTAAAATTCTTTTGTCATTAATCACTACTTGCTTATGCACATCGACAAGGGAGTCAGCAATTAGTTTGGATGAGACATAGATACACACTCTATTATTGGCAATTCGTGATATATATCTAATGTTTGAGGGCCCGATTAATGCTCCAATAGCTGTTGCGTAGTTCTGGATGGGGATTCCGTCAATAGCATCTAGGATGATTGCTTGTTCCTTGGTTGGGATGACTTCTGTTTGTAGAGCCCTAGTGTAGCTCATTTTGATGGCTTGGTACGGAGGTGAAAGGATTAGTTCTCTGATACAGAGAGAGAATTGCCTAACGAAAGGCTAGGCCAACTAGGGGAGAATACACATCCACTAGTAGGCAGATACACGAAATTCAAATTAATTGATAACACACTTTAAACTAAAGAACACACTATAGTCGAACACGATGAACGGAGCGGTCACAACACGTCTATTCCGCTTGGCGGCCGTAGTGAGATTGTGAAAAATAAATATAAATTAAATTTATTTAACCGAAGAAATTAAATTAAAAACCGCATTGAAAACAAATAACCACTCGAACAAATAATAAGTAAATTTAATCACTAGCTACTAATTTCGACCACGCCTATGTCCAAGTTAGCCTTCTCGGTTTTGAATATAGATTTATAGATTTTGTTTATTAATACCAAGGCACAGGCCAAATGGCAATTTCTATTACATAGTATAACAATTTTTACAAGAAACAATTTCTGTTTCTGTGAGTACATAATATAGTATTGCACAAAAATTATTTTAAATAATTCGTATATAAACATAATAAAAACAAATTAAACTTAGAATTTAATACAGAAAATAATAACTTAAAAATATAATATTTTGATGTCATCAAATCAGATGATAACTCAACATAATAAATCTGCAATTGCACTGATTTTATTCATATTTTAATTTTCAATCTTTAAAGTAATTAAGCTCAAATTTGTGATTTATTTGACGTCGTTTTAATTATCAAGATTTAGTAAGTAATTGAAAACTTCTTTTTTAAAGACTTGCAAGCTACTCGAATTTACGATTTCGCGTGGAAGTTCTTCCCAAAACCTTATTACAGTTACTAAAAAAGATTTCTCCAAGAAGCTTGTGGTGAAAAGAGGTAGTTCAAAGGAGGTGTGCTTTTTTGCAGCCAAACGATTTGAACGTCGAACATCAGCTTCTTCAACGAATAAATCGCGCAAGTACTCCGGCTTTCCAGTCTCCAGTAATTTGTATAAGTAACAAACTGCATAGTACAATCGACGATATTTGATTGTAAGCCACCCTAGTTCTTTGCGATGAGGACTAATATGCTCATCTTTCTTGAGATTGAAAATAAATCTGATTGAAGAATTTACTGCTCGCTGAAGTTTTAGATCGTTTTCAGAAGTCGAATCGATAAGCACAATAGAACAGTAATCAATGAGCGGTAGGATGGTAGCAGTAACTAGGAGCCTTCTTATCTCAGTAGAGTAGATATTTTTCCGGACCTTGAGACTATGAAGAGCATAATTTACTTTTCTAGTAGTCTGTAAGATATGGCTATTCCAGGATAAGTTTTGGTTTATAACAAGTCCTAAACACTTTGCTGAATTCACATAGGGAATTACTGTGTTATTAACTAGAATAGGGGGAACCTCCAAAGACTGCAGTTGTTTCAATTTTCCATTTGAACCCAAAATCATCGCCGTAGTCTTCGTCAAGTTAATCATTAAACCATGTGATCGAGCCCAGTCTGCTATTGCTTGTGAGTTAGCAGTAACTCGTTGAACTGCGTCATGGAGCTGATACACAAGGCAATGATGGTAAATGTACATGTCATCAGCAAACAGACCGTATTTACAAAAGTTTATTCACCTGGTCACAGAATTTATAGCGATTAGAAACAATATCGGCCCATCCCGGGAAAAAATGATCAGATCTGATCAGATATGAACAGGCATGAGTCTTCAGGTCTGATCAGACCTGGCCAGGCATGTTCATGTCTGATCAGATCTGTTCATGCCTGACTCGATTAGGTCCATAAAAAAAAAAAAAAGATTGGTGCCGACGGGGATTCGAACCATGTACGTTGCGCTCTTCAGACTGATACTTTACCTATTGACCCAATGATTTATCTTAATTCTAGAGTACCTTTTAAACTACTTTAAGTAATTTAAATTTTATACATGACTTATCCTTATAGTTAACGGAGTTCTATACTTAATTTATTAATTAATTATTAATAATTAATTATACACCATAAAAAATTTCGCGTCATAGCGTCAAACAATTTTGTGTTAAAAATTTTTATGTTAAATATTTTTAACAGAATAAATGTTAAATTTACACATAAAAGTATTAAATATTTAACACAAAAATTTTTAACACAAAATT